CTGCTGCTGCTGCTGCTGCTGCTGCTGCTGCTGCTGCTGCTGCTGCTGCTGCTGCTGCTGAAGCGAAGCGCACGTGATTTGTACTAATCCGTTCAGGAGAAGAACTCCATTCGGCTCAAGAAAAAGAGGAAGGGGCCCACCTGCTGGGCGCTTTCAAGGGGGGCCCCCAGGGCCAGGGGAGGCGGAAGCCGCCGAGAGCTGCCCGGGCCGCTGGCTCTGCGCCGCTGCAGTAAGCTGCGTGCTGCTGCTGCTGCTGCTGCTGCTGCTGCTGCTGCTGCTGGTGCTTTGCTGCAGCACTTCGCGCAGCACATTACAAACGGCAAAACAAGGGCATGCATGCGGCTACCTGGGCGAAGCAGCTATTGCAACTGTTCATTAAATGATCTTTTGCTTTTCTCTGTTGCATGCTTTATCTACTTCGTGCCGCCCTTGCTGTTGCTGCTGCTGCTGCTTGCTGCTGCTGCTGCTTGCTGCTGCTGCTTGCTGCTGCTGCTGGCTGCTGCAGCAGTCGTGGCGAATGCGGCTGGAGCCAGAAGCGTGCGTTTTGGGTGTTTTCTTTTCAGGGTATGTTTTGGCTGGCAGCCACAAGTTAGCTTTTTAAAGAGCAGCAGACAAAGCAGCAGTAGCAGCAAACTTAGTAGTGGCAGCAGCAGCACAGCAGCAACACCAACACTCTTCGTGGCCGGCGCGCAGCCCTTGAGGCTGCATGCGCAGCAGCAGCAGCAGCAGCAGCAGCAGCGCAGTGACCTGCTGCCTCAGGGAGTCGATTGCGCTTTGCAGCAGCCTTCTAGAAGTGCTGCTGCTAGCCAGAGCCCTGCTGCAGCAGCAGCAGCAGCAGCACGCTGCAGTGCTGTGCTGCTGCTGTGTCTGTCAGGCCCCGCATGCAATTGAAGGAAGCCACAGACGCCAGGAGGCCCCCCCCTCTTGGGCCCTTCAGAAGGTGGGCCCCCAGCCCTTTGGGGACTTGGGGCCCCTGGCCTTTTCTGAGGCGCGAGCTGGGGGCTTCGGGGGGCCCCCGGGGGGCCCGGGAACGCGCAGGAGCCCGACGGGGGCCTCGCGGCGTTCTCTATGGGAGATATTCGGCTGGCCGAGAAGGCCCTGGAAAGTGGCATTTCTTTGGAAAGTTATTTGCGATCTTTGAAGTCTGGAGAGTCTAAAGCAATGCAAGAAGGTGCAGCAGCAAGCAGCAGCAGTCTGGGGGCCCCCCCCGGCGCTGCGGCGGCCCCCAGGCCCCTGGGGGGCTTCCCGCAGCAGCAGCAGCAGCAGCAGCAGCAGCTGCTGCAGCAGACACGCCAAACGGACCTCCAGAGCATTTGGGGGCCCCAAGACTCCATGGGGCCCCCACAGGCTGCAGTTGGCCTCGGGGGAGTTCCACTTGAACATGATGTGGGGGAAGAGTTCTCCTTTTTGGAAGACACGGTGAGCGCTGCTGCTGCTGCCGCTGCTGCTGCTGCTGCTGCTGCTGCTGCTGCGGGTTTGTTCAAGGGGAGTGCTGCTGGCTTGCTGCATGCAGGAATTCGCCCTCGGCTCCGAGACTTGGGGCAGGGGGCCCCCGGGGGGCCCCCAGGAGTCCGCGGAGGCGCGGTCGAAGGCCGCAGCGTGTGCTGCTGCTGCGCATGCTGCTGCTGCTCATGCTGCTGCTGCTGCGCCGTCGAACCCCGGAGCTGCTTCTGTTGCTGCTTGGTTTACTGCAATGCTGGCGGGCCCTCAGGAAGGCTCTGAAGGAGCAGCAGACCGCCAGGGATGCATGCAGAAGGCCCACGCGGAGGACAGCTTTCCCGACCCCACACGCAGGCTGCAGCAGCTGCAGCAGCAGCAGCAGCAGCAGCAGCAGCAGCAGCTGCAGCAGCAGGCGCGGGAGGCTGCTGGGGGCTTCCTGCAGGACGCCCAAGGGCGCAGCGCGCAGCGCCAGGAGGGGCCCCGGGGGCCCCGGCAGCAGCAGCAGCAGCAGCAGCTGCATGCGCATGCAGCGTATCTGATGCAGCTGCAGCAGACTCCCCAGTTGCCGGAGCAGCAGCAGTTTCAGCTGCAGCAGCAACTCGCCCAGGAGCAGCAGCAGCAGCAGCAGCAGCAGCGGAAACGGCTGCAGCAGCAGCGCATGCAGATGATGTACGAGCAGCAGCAGCGGCTGCAGCAGCAGCAGCTGCTGCTGAGGCAGCACAGAGGCCAGCCGCGTGAGCCAAAGCCCCCGCGTGTCCCTTAAGAGCTGCGCAGCTGCAGCAAGAAAGGCAGCAAACGGGATAGTGGCCCTTGAATTTGCTGCCACTCTTTTGCTGCTGCTGCTGCTGCTGCTGCTGCTCCGTGTGTCTGTGCATGCAGTAGACGCAGCCCAGGGCCGCGAGGCTGGCCGGCAGCTGCTGTCTCTCATAGGTGTAGTGCCCCGCAGCAGCACAGAAGGGTCCGAGGGGCCCTCTGCTGCTGCTGCTGCTGCTGCTGCTGCTGCTGCTGCTGCTGCTTCGGGGGCCCCTTCGGCCAGGGGGGGGCCCCTGCAGGCGCCACGGGAGGAGCCCGTGGGGCTGATGGCCCCCCGAGCTGCAGCAGACCTCGAGAGACAATTCATGCAGCGGCAGTGCCAGCAGCAGCAGCAGCAGCAGCAGCAGCAGCAGCAGCAGCGGCAGCCGCAGCTGCACCCCGCGCACTTCGCAGGGGCGCAGCACCCAATGTAAGTGCCTTTAGAAACGCTTCGTGGCAGCACTTCCCGTCTGCAGTGTACATACACCCCAGTTGTGCTGCAGTGTACGTACACCTGAGTTGTGCTGCAGTGTACGTACACCCCAGTTGTGCTGCAGTGTACATACACCCCAGTTGTGCTGCAGTGTACATACACCCGAGTGCTGCTGCAGTGTACATACACCCCAGTTGTGCTGCAGTGTACGTACACCCGAGTGCTGCTGCAGTGTACATACACCCCAGTTGTGCTGCAGTGTACGTACACCCGAGTGGTGCTGCAGTGTACGTACACCCCAGTTGTGCTGCTGCTCTCAGGCTAGCAATGCCAGTGGGCACTTTGCCGTGCCCGGTGAATCCGCACATGGCTGTGCAGGGGGGCCCCCCGGGGGGCCCCCAGGGGCCCCTGGCGGGGGGCCCCCAGGGGCCCCTCCAGGGGGCCCTCCAGGGGCCCCTCCAGGGGGCCCCTGGCTGTCACCTAGACTATCCCTCCACCCCCCACAGCCCCCCCCTTTCTAGGGGAGGCAGTGGAGAGAAGAATTTGCTCAAGTTGCTGCACGGGGGGGGCAGGCCAGTGGGTACAGCCCCGCTGCATGCAGCCCCCGTGGGGGGCCCCCCCCTGGGGGGCCCCTCGGGGGCCCCCCCCCTAGGGGGCCCCTCGGGGGGCCCCCCCCTAGGGGTTCCCTCGGGGGGGCCCCCCCTAGGGGGCCCCTCGGGGGGCCCCCTGGGGGCCCCGCTGGGGGTGCCCGTGGGGGGCCCCCTGGGGCCCCACCCCCTGGGGGCTCCTGTGGGGGGGCCCCCCCTGGGGGCCCCCGCGGGGGGCCCCCTCGGGGGCCTTTTAGGGGAGCCATCGGCGAGGCCGTGGAATGCGGGGCAGTGAGAAAGGGCGAAGGCGGCAGGGCTTTCCAGGAAGAGATTTGGGGGCCCTTTGAGTTTCTGTTTTGCTGCTGCGGCGGTGCTGCTGCTGCATGCGTTTTTGGGGCTTTTGGCCGTGCGCTGCAGCAGCAGCAGCAGCAGCAGCAGCAGGGAAAAGAAACAAAGGGCACTGCAGGGGAAGTCCAGCAAATGCCGCAGCGCGGCTTTTCTTGCTTGGCCTATTGTTGCCTGTGGCGCCAAGACAGTTTGAACTTTATTGTCTTTGGTTTTTCGCGCATTTAGAAAAGACAGAACTCTTAGAGTAGTGCAGCAACTCTAGCCCTGCAGGAGCTGCTGCAGCAGCACAGCTCGCAGCAGGCCCTGGCGCCGCTTGCGCTGCAGCTGCTGCTGCTGCTGCTGCGAAGGGCGCTGCAGCACGGCTCTTGCTGCAGCAGCAAGAGCCGCCCTGGCCAAACAAAGGCCCCAGGCTTGGAGAGGAAAGCTGGGGCAGCTTTTTGTCTTTTGCTTCAAAGGCCGCAGCAGCTTATGTGCTGCACTCCCGAGAGGGGCTGCACAGGTTTCTTGCCGCGCGATCCTGCCGGAAAAGCGGCTGCGCCGTCGCGCTTGCCTTCATTTTTGTTTTAAATAATCGCGAAAATGAAATATGAATTTTATTTCCGCTTTTTCCGCCCCGGAAACGACCGGATCAACTCAAATGCGGCGAGTTTCCAGCAGGATCTGCAAAGCGCCGGTCGATTTCAGGTGTACCTACAGCTCGTTGCCGTTGCAAGTTGAACTTGTGCTGCGCGCGGCGACGCGAAACTTGGAACAAACTTGGAATAAACTTGGAATTGAGCGCGTTTTGAGGCAGTTTTTGCATTTATTGTTGTCAGTTTTTGCAATTATGTTGCCAACTCCAGTTCGGCGTCGTCCCGCGACTCGGCAGTGGACGAAAAGACCCCCCAAGTCGCGGCGGCTGGACGAAACCAAGAGCTTTCGAGGCTGCGATCCTGCAGCAAAAGAGCACTCCGAGACTCCCCTGCCGCTGCTGCAGTGGGCAGCAAAAGTAATTTGCAAATTTTGAAAGTTTTTGCGCGAGTTTGGTGCGATTAAGTGCGGAATCTGCACAGAAGCACCTGCGCAGCATTTTGGCGCAGCTGCGCGCTGCAGCAGCAGCAGCAGCAGCAAAGGACAACGAACAAGCGCCCCGCTGCTTGCTGCTGGAGATTAAAGTGGATGTTTCTCTTTTGTAGGCGCGAAGGAATTAAAAGTTTGGAAAAGAAACTTTTCTGAACTTTTAATTCCTCTTCTGTCCAGACTCGACGAGCTGCCGGCCTGGGGCCCCGTGGCTTTGACGGCGTGGGACTGTGTAAGTACACCTGAGCTGCTGCAGCAAGTCCGGGCCCACGAGCTGCTGCTGCTGCTGCTGCTGCTGCTGCTGCTGCTGCTCAGTTCTGCAGCTACTTGCAAAAGTGCAT